GGTCTGAGTCAAATAAGAGAAACCACCTTTTCGGTAGATCCTAAGAGAAGTCAACAACTGTCCCAGTGAAAGAGATTTGAAAATAGGAATAGAATCATCCTTTCTTGACAAGGTAAAGACATGTTCTAAACCACAGCCTCACTCTACTTAACTGAACCACAATACCAGATCTTCCTATATACATGTGTATGTATATGTGTGTGTATATATAACTAAATCACTATGCTATACCCCTGAAACTGACACAACATTGTAAATCAACTATAAAAAAGTAGAGGCAGGAAACCCCTGGTGGTCCAGTGGCTAAGACTCCACGTTTCCAATGCTGGGGGCACTGGTGTGATCCCTAGTTGGGGAACTAAGATCCTACGTGCTGCACGACCTGGCCAAAAGAAAATAAAATTAAAAAAAAAAAAAAACACTTAAAAAACCTCACGTGTGTTCCATGGAACCCTCACACCCGGAAAAGAGTTTCCCAGATTCAATAAGACTGGGAAGCTGCCTACCCGGCCTATCTCAGAAAGTCACTGCACACAACAGCATGTTAAGTAGCATTTGTAAGTCGAGGGTTAGCAGTCCTCACCATTTGGGTCTTCACCATTCTTTCTGTTTTTTTGAGAGTCAAAAGAGAGTGCTTATCCCATAAGTGGTGACTCTTGCTATTGCTTGGCCATCGGTGCTTTGAGGCCCCGCAGGTCCCTTGTGTTCCATCCCACTGAGCATCCCCTAGTAGGGAGGTGCTGAAGTCTGACCATGATACACGGGTCAGGAGCCAGCTGTGGCCAGTTGGACGGAGCCTAGGCTGGGCTTGGAGAAACCAGCAGTTTCCCTTTGCCCACATGCCATCACTATGCAGAGCATCTAGGCTCAGCCACACATCTCTTAATCCCCAAGAACATGTTCTCCACCAATGAGTGATGAGCCCCATGGGGCTGGCCGCTCGCACATGAGAATTACAGCCAAGAGAGATTTATTTCCGCTGAACATCGGGCTGAGCCTGGCTTAGGAATTCAGGAGTGCACAGCCACCTCCAAAGGTCTGGGGATACGGTTGGGAAGGCTTACAGGGGGGTGTTGCTGGCTCCTTCTGTCCCAGCCTGTGGTGCTGGGACGCTCAGCTGTCCCTTTAGAAGGCTCCTTTCCTCGGAATTATGATGTAGAGATATTCCATGACACCAAGCTGCAGGGGCTCCAACTCTTACAGGTCTCTCCCCACTCCTTACCCCCACCACTGGTTTCAAAATCTTAAAAAAAAAAAAAAAACAGCCAAAGAGTAGAAAGAGGGAAATGACAACCCTCCATTTCCCTACCTTTTGGAATGAACTGTTTCTGAACACAGGCCCACCATGTGCCACACCCTCAGCCTCCATGATCGGCTGGAGCTGGAAGGGTCCTGGGAAGATGCATACTATTCCCTGAACCCCCTCTCCATGCCTGCCTGCTGTATCTGTGAGGAGCCAGACTTCAGCAGTGGACCAGGCTAAAGATCTTTTAGCCACCCTCCAAGCTTCCAGGTTTCAGCTATAATTAGTGAGAATGGACCCTGTGTGCGGGAAAGGGATCCCTCCTACACTGTTGGTGAGAATGTAAGTTGGAGCAGCCACTCTGGAATAACTAAAAACGGAGTTACCTTATGATCCAGCAATCCCACTCCTAGGCATATATCTGGAGAAAACTGTAATTTGAAAAGATACATGCACCCCCACGTACATAGCAGCACTATTTACAGTAGCCAAGACACGGAAGCAACCTCAACATCCGTTGACAGATAAATGGATAAAGAGGATGTGGTACATATACACTGTGGAATGTTGTTGTTGTTGTTTAGTTGCTAAGTCGTGTCTAACTCTTTTTGGCCCCATGGACTATAGCCCACCAGGCTCCTCTGTCCATGGGATTTTCTAGGCAAGAATACTGGAGTGGGTTGCCATTTCCTTCTCCGGGGGATCTTTCCAACCCACTGCCAAACATGCTCTTCCTTCTTGGCAAGCAGATTCTTTACCTGAGCCACCTAAGAAGCCCATGATGAAATATTACTCAGCCATAAAAAATAGTAAAATAATGCTATTTGCATCCATATAAATGGACCTAGATATTATCATAGTAAGTGAAGTAACTCAAAGACAAATACTATATGATATCACTTTTGTGGAAATCTAAAATATGATACAAATCAACTTACTTACAAAACTAAACAGACTCACAGACATAGAAAATAAACTTATGGTCACCAAAGGGGAAAAGGGGTGGGAGAGGGCTAAATTAGGAATTTGGGAGTAGCCGATACAGACTGCCATGTATAAAATAGACAAAGTCCTACTGTATAGCACAGGAAATTATGTTCAATATCTTACAATAACCTATAATGAAAAAGAATGTATACACACACACACACACAAACACACAGATAGGCAGTTTTGCCCCTCCCAGAGATACTAGTGAAGTCTGGAAATTTGGCAAAGTCTGGAGGCATTTTCGGTTATTATAACCAGGCAGAAGAGTGAGTGCTACTGGTATTCAGTAGGTAGAAGCCAGAGATGCTGCTGAACATCTTCAAATGCACAGGACAGCCCCTACAACAAAGACCTCTGTAGCCCCAAATGTCAATGGTGTAGCTGTTGAGAAACTGCAAGAATCCTACAAGCTTGCTATGTCTACCAGCCCATAAGGTCAGCAGATAGTATTCTTAAAGAGCCCAAACTTCAGCACTGTCCCAAATCAGGATTTAGATCAATTCCTCTGGACCACCCCAACATGCGTGTCTAAGAACATCCCTGGAAAGCAACAAGAGTAAAGAGTGTTCAGTGTTGACCCTTGTGCCTGTCGTTAGGGAATCAGATGCTGGAAGAGTTGATGGATTTTAGGAACACTGGTGTTTCACGTGGCGGTGGGTAAATTTGGAACACCTCACCAGGTATTTGTGCTTGTAGAGAAACAAGTGTGATAATTAGTACTCACATGCAAGCTCCGGCCACCTCAAGAGTTCCTACAGTAATACATTGCCATGTATGTATTCATTCAGCTTCTGGGTGGCCAGCCCTGTTCAAGACATAAAAGGAGAGAGAAAAACCCATCAGAGCAAAGAAAAGGCTCTGGGGGGCAGTGGAATGTTCCAGAAGATGGTGTTAAGAAAAGCTTTATGACTCATGTTGTGGTGAAGAGTGTGGGATTTGAAGTCCAGAGACCTCCACTCCAGCTCTTCCTAATGGGGGCAAGTCATCTACCCTGAATTTACTTACATTAGCTGGTCTTGCAGATTAGGACAGCCACCCCAGTATGTCATGGTAGAGTTGCCATGGAGATTAAACTGGTTTACATATGTAAGTCTGCTGTGAAAACTGTCAGGGTGTCACAAATGTTGTTATTCACTGAGGAAATGAGTTTTTACTAATGATACATTTGTCCAGTGCCGTTGACTTGCCAAAGGCATTTAAATCACAGTTAGTGCATCTACAAAACGTAGGCTCTGAGAAGGGAAATAGATGAGTGGGGGTGTGAAGGAAGGAAGCAGATAAGATCGGCAGGAGGTAGGGACAGAGATGACTCTCAGTTGGGGGAGAAGCAGGGTACCAGAGGGCTCAGAGTGGACCTGTCCTTATTCATGAGGTTCCCCATTCATTTCTACCTCCCATGGCCGGGCCCACTTGGCCCACCCGAGCTGCTGTCTGTCCACTTCCTGGGCCTTGGCTAATGTGTCCTTGGGTTGTGATTCCTGCCTGTGGACACCTTGTGGCAAGGCCAGTCCCTGCCCTCTCAGTCATATTTTTGTAGTTGATGGAGAGCAAAGGGATACTGTCCATCCTCTTTTCCTGACCTGTGCTCAGAGCTCAAGCCAAAACACGATTTTATTCCCCACTCCTGAAATTGAAGCAAGGGGGTAATTCAAAGACTTCTTTCTCTCTCCCTGGGGGAACACTTCCTGGAGCCATCACTTCCCCTGAGAGCTCAAATTTTCAAAGCAACCTCAAGAATTCTGCAAAGAGCCTGCATGGCTGGTTTGCTGCCCAGAAGCACCGTATCAGTGTTGACACTAAGCCAGCATGTGTGTTTTGCTCCCGGCAAAGATTAATGGTTTGCTTATGAAAATAATAGCTGCCATTTATCAAATGCCATCCATGGGCACAGGACTGTGTTCAAGACTTGACACTGTCCCTAATCCTTCCAACAACCTGTCAAGTTAGTGATAATCACCTTGCTCTATGGATGAAGAAACTGAAGTTCAGAGTCGTCAAGACAGTTATCCAGGGTTACACAGCATAATTAGCGGAGTGAGAACCTGAGCCCATGAACACCCAGCTCCAGAGCCCCTCACTGCCTCTCTACCCACACTCTCCCAGACTCTTGCCCAAGACTACTAGGCTGGCATTGAGGAGATCACTTTTCATTTAAAGTGTATGTGTAAGTGTGTGTGTGTGTGTGTGTGTTAGGGACGGTTTTGTTGGCATTTTTGCAGTGATGCATGGGAGAAGGCAGGATACTGGAAAATCTTTTCAAGATCAAGAAATACTACAGCGAAGTAAAGATCCACATCCTTGAATAAGGACAGATATTCCCCATGACCCTGGAGGTGTCAGGCAGATGGTTCATATTCCTTCATTCCCCAGACTGCTCTGGAGAGGCTGTTTCCTGGGGAGTGTTGTGTGTGATGCTGTGAGAGATGGAACTGAACAGGCAGGATCACCATCTTGGAGCCCTGGGTCCCTTGATGAGTCTTGCTTGTCTCACACCTAATGACTCTCACCAGTAGGGTCTCTGAATATTATACTTTGGTTAGTTGTGCTGTCATGCGTTTACCCCAAAATGATGGAGGGGCTGGTGTTGGCAGCGGTGTCGGCGTATGCTCTGCTCTGTTCCAATCTCTGGACGTTGACCCAGTCAGGAGCATGCAGGTCGAATGAAGCTTGATGTCTGCCCCCCCACCCCCACCCCTGGCCGTGGCTCACTTGGAGCTCTTGCGAGACCCCCTCTCACCAGCCACATTGTTTTCTGTCCCCTGTGTAGTACCTGCAGATGAAATGGCCGCTCCTCGATGTCCCCGCCAGCACCACAGTCAAGGACGCCAGGTCACCATCGCCAGCACACTTGGTAAGTCTGTTTCTTCTTAAAGCGCAGAAGGGACACTGTCACTGAGCTTGTCCCATCTCACTGCCTCCACATTCCCCAAGGTCTAGCAGCGCTGCCCCAAGTGTGTGAGCCAGACGGTCAGGAGTATTGCTTTTGTATGTCCCCACCGCTACCACCTCGGCACACTCACACACCACCCAGGATGTCATGTGATCAGAAATGCCAGCCCTGCCCCTGCCTGGTGACCCTGGTCCTCCTCCGCCTCCCCTCCACCGTGGCAGCCCAGTTCTCTCTCTCCCACTCGAGCTCAGTTCACAGCCCTCACTTCCTCTTCGGAGCTGCATAGCAACAGTTGAAGAGGCTGTTCTGTACCAGATGTTATAGGAAAGAATTAATTTAAAATATATGCAAACAAAAATCCCCAGGGGCAATTGAGGTCTTTCTATCAATGTCCAAGGCAACACGGTCACAAAGGAAGGTCTGGAGGGTCCTGGGAGGAGGCGCAATGGGATCAGTCTCCTCACCTCAGGGCTTGTGACAGACTGAAATTGATAGGCCAGGAGATGCACCCAGCTAGGACCCTGTATCCCTCTTTCCTGGGCTTTCTTAGGAGCTTGGGGCAACCCACATGCCCCACAAGCTGACTAGTGTTGTTCAAGTGCAGTAAGTCTCAGAAACACAGAGCAGACAGGTAGAAGGGAGACCTGGGAATATATGATGCTTCTAAAACTTAACTCTGTAAAATTTCAATGGTTTTCCTCACTCGTGCTCCCCCTTCCACCATGCTGGGTTGTTTGCAAGCAAATCCCAGATGTAGAATTTCATCTCATTCATATTTCATCTCCTCTTATTTTAAGATCTCCTGACAGTCTTTTTTCATTAAAAGCTTAGAGTCCAGTGCAGGAGATGCAAGAGATGTGGGTTTGATCCCTGGGTCAGGAAGATCCCCTGGAGGAGGAAATGGCAACCCACTCCAATACTCTTGCCTGGGAAATCCCTTGATCAGAGGAATCTGGCAGGCTACAGTCCATGGGGTTTCAAAGAGTCAGACATGACCGAGCAACTGAGCACACAGCACACCCATGAATTATACATCAATAAAAAATAATATTTTTTAAAAAGCTTCAAAAAGAATTTAGAATTTAGTTGAGGAGAAGGAAGGTATCTCTAGAGAGATAAGTCATGACATGGTGAGCTTGTATGATTTCCGGTAATCGTGAGACCAACTTCCAGGGTCTGAGCGCTTGACCAATGTCCGGTATAGTTCTCAGGTGACTGTCACAGCCATCCGGAGCAGGCTGCCCTGAGAGGTCCTATGGCCTGTCACCAAGATCTGAGCAGCCTAAAGAACACGCCCCACGGCGGGGGTGGGCAGGCCTGGAAGTTGCCTGTGACCCTCTAGATTCCAAGACAACTGTTGGTGGCCAGTGCGAGGTGCAAGTGCCCACTAGTGGTCAGTCGAGGAGTGGGCATCCCAACGACCCCCATCACTACCACAAAACTGGCTTGCCCCCTCCCAGCACAGCCATCTGTCTTTATTTATTTAAAAAAAAAAATTTTTTCCCGATTTATTTGTCTGTGTTGGGTCTTCGTTGCTGCACAGGCTTTTCTCTAGTTGCAATGAGCAGGGGCTACTCTTTAGCTGTGGTGTTCAGCTCATGGCGGTACCTTCTCTCGTTGCAGAGCAGACTCTCAGAGCATTCGGGCTTCAGTAGTTGCAGCTTCTGGGCTCTAGAGCGTAGGCTCAGGAGTTGTGGCGCACAGACTTAGTTGCTCCGAGGCATGTGGAATCTTCCCGGACCTGGGAATGAACTGAAGTCTCCTTCACTGGCTGGTGGATTCTTGAGCACTGAGCCACCAGGGAAGCCCTCTTTAACTGTTTCAAATCCTTGCTCATGCCCCCCACCCATCCTGTGCCACATCCCCATCCAGCATCCTTCACATCCTGTTGTTTGCATATCTTCAAAAATCTCCATCTGCATTTAGAGGAGGTGAATTATTTTTAAAACAAGCACATAGACTCTTTGAGTTTGCCATCCCTCCTGCTGCACAGAGTGATCCAGCTCTGAAAAATAAAACAAAAAGCCTGCCACAAGCCCTCCTCTTCCTCCTATATTTCCCTTCTAATATTCACCACCCAGCTTCACACAAGAGCTAGACCTTCCACCGCCATCCCTGATCTGTTTGCCACCTAGTACCTAACAGCACTCATTTGCCTACCTTTTCTCAGTCCTCTGCTTCCTATAATTCTTTTGTTGGCCCCAGGAGACTGTATGGATTATTGTTGTTCAGTCACTACATCGTGTCCAACCCTTTTCAACCCCATGAACTGCAGTGCACCAGGCTTCTCTGTCCATCACTATCTCCCTGATTTGCTCAAATTCATGTCCATTGAAATCAATGATGCCATCCAACCATCTCATCCCCTGTTACTCCCTTCTCCTCTTACCTTCAGTCTTTTCCAATATCAGGGTCTTTTCCAGTGAGTTGGCTCTTTGCATCAGGTGGCCTAATAAAGAAGCTTTAACTTCAGCATCAGTCCTTCCAGTGAATATTCAGGATTGATTTCCCTTTAGGATTGACTGGTTTGATCTCGCAGTCCAGGGGACTCTGAAGAGTCTTCTCCAGCACCACAGTTTGAAAACGTCCGTTCTTCGGCACTCAGTCTTCTTTATGGTCCAACTCTCTCATCCATTCAGAGTATTGGAAAGACTATTGCTGTATTAATATACATTACCAAATTTTTTTGCCCTGTCTATGATTCCTTTTTTTTTTTAGACCCTTTTCCTCAAATAAATCAACTACTCATCCTTACTTATTATCTCAGTGTAAGTGACATAAAAATACATGAAATCCCTAAACTCTCCACAAGGTTCTCTACCCATAGAATCCACTGCCAGACAGACCTGCAGCCACTGGGAGACATCTCAGCACAGCTGGCGGAGCAGGGGCTCATGTTATGTCTGAAAGGGGAAAACCATGAATAGTGGATACATTACATTGTAGATAGAAAAATAGATACTTTTCTAGGAAATTGTATATTATCACACTCTGTACTATCATACAGAAAAGCAGAAAAACAGGCCTCAAACGCTTAAAGAGAACTTCATAGGAGAAAACCTGAACTTGATATTCTAGAAAGTGGAAGGAGACCACCATCTTCCATTTTCAAGTCAGAGCTTCTCATTCTGTTATCTGAGATATATGTGTGTGTGAATGGGAGCCAAACCTGAAATGCCCAGGGAGGACGATGTATCTTGGAGATTGTGTAATAAAGTGGATTTGAATCCCAGCTCTGCCTCTTCCTACTTGCGAAGCTTCAGGAAATTACCTCATCTCTCTTTGCTTTGGTTTTCCTCGTCTATAAAATAGGTATTAGGAGAGGATTTGACCTCAGAGTTGTGTGAAAATGAGCCCGTGCATCGTAATGAGTTTAGAATTGTGCCTTGCACAAAATAAGCCTCAATAACTGCTAGCTTGCTACTATTACCACCACCACCACCTCTCAGTTCAGTTCAGTTACTCAGTCGTGACTGAACTGAGCTCCTTGTGACCCCCATGGACTGCAACATGCCACGCTTCCCTGTCCATCACCAACTCATGGAGCTTGCTCAAACTCATATCCATTGAGTCGGTGATGCCATCCAACCATCTCATCCTCTGTCGTCCCCTTCTCTTCCTGCCTTCAACCTTTCCCAGCATCAGGGTCTTTTCCAATGAGTCAGTTCTTCACATCAGGTGGCCAAAGTATTGGAGTTTCAGCTTCAGCATCCTTCCCATGAATATTCGGGACTGATTTCCTTTAGGATGGACTGGTTGGATCTCCTTGCTGTCCAAGGGACTCTCCAGAGTTTTCTCCAACACCACAGTTCAAAAGCATCAATTCTTTGGTGCTCAGCTTTCTTTATACTCCAACTCTCACATCCATACATGACTACTTGAAAGACATAGCTTTGTCTAGACAGACCTTTGTTGGCAAAGTAATGTCTCTGCTTTTTGGTATATTGTCTAGGTTGCTCATAGCTTTTCTTCCAAGGAGCAAGCATCCAGTTTTTTTCATGGATGCAGTCACCATCTGTGGTGATTTTAGAGCCCCAGAAAATAAAGTCTGTCACTGTTTCCATTGTTTCCCCATCTATATTCGCCATGAAGTGATGGGACCAGATGTCATTATCTTTGTTTTTTTTAATGCTGGGTTTTAAGCTAGCTTTTTCACTCTCCTTTTTCACTTTCATCAAGAGGCTCTTCTGTTCCTCTTCACTTTCTGCCATAAGGGTGGTGTCATCTATGTATCTGAGGTTATTGATATTTCTCCCATCAATCTTTTTTTTTTTTCTTTTTTTAATCAATCTTGATTCTAGCTTGTGCTTCATCCAGTCTGGCATTTTGCATGATGTACTCTGCATATAAGTTAAATAAGCAGGTGACAGCCTACAGCCTTGACGTACTCCTTTCCCAATTTGGAACCAGTCTGTTGTTGCATATCCAGTTCTAATTATTGCTTCTTGACCTGCATACAGATTTCTCAGGAGGCAGGTAAAATGAACTGGTATTCCCATCTCTTGAAGAATCTTCCACAGTTTGTTGTGATCTATACTGTCAAAGACTGGCGTAGTCAATAAAGCAGAAGTAGATGTTTTTCTGGTATTATCTTGCTTTTTCTATGATCCAACAAATGTTTGCAATTTGATCTCTGGTTCCTCTGCCTTTTCTAAATCCAGCTTGAACATCTGGAAGTTCACGGTTCACGTACTGTTGAAGCCTGGCTTGGAGAATTTTGATCATTACTTTGCTAGTGTGTGAGAGACGTGCAATTGTGCAGTAGTTTGAACATTCTTTGGCATTGCCCTTCTTTGGGATTGCCGACCACCTCAAGCACTGCTATTAATAAGAGAGGGAAAGAACAATTAAAATACTGTTATGGGAAGCTGCTATGTAGAGCACAGGGAGCTCATTGCAGTGCTCTGTGAAGACCTAGCATGGTGAGATGGGAGGAGTGTTTGGGGAGATGGGTTATATAA